CCATTTGCCTGAAATTTTGGAAAACTGATTCTTTTTGGAAATGGCTTCTTTATTTGTAAAGTAGAATTGTTTCTTTGTCTTAGAAATCGATATCTGTTGATCTCTTAATTCTTTTCCCCAATTTTTTTTTTGTTGAAATAGGCATGAGAATTTTTATAGAAGATTTCTACCTATTTGACCTTTTTTATACAGTTACGAGTTTTCTTCCTTGTTTCACTTTTTTTCTTATAATTTAAGATGTGTATAATTAACTGTTTTTTGCTTCAGTGCCATTATGTGCTTATAGCACAGGTTTTCAACCTGTGCTGCACACTAGAATCATTTGAAGAGTCATAAAAATACTGATGTCGGGGCCACACCTGCATCTGGGATGCGGCCTGGGCACCAGGATTTTCAAAAGCTCCTCAGGTGATTTATCTTTGCAGCCAAGTTTAAGAGACTATTAGGTTAAAGTATTTCAGAAGTAACTTAAAGTAGGTAACCAAGGCTCAGTGGTATACTCAATCGGCCATCTCAAATCTCTTGGTTAAAATAAAGTGAAATGTTTAAAATTGAGATGGTAGAATTAAGTTCTTGACTTTGCTAAAACACTTTTGTTATTTACCAAATCATAAATGGAATTAAGGAAAGCATATATATGTTTAAGGCCTTTAAATTCCTGTGTGGATGGGAGAAAGAATAACAGTTCTTGTTTTGAATTCAGAAATTAACAAATCTGTTTTTAGAGCCTATAATGATTACTATTTTATTGTTAGTATAGTTAGACAAGCACTGTGTCCAGACTCTTGTTGACTTTGTTACCTACTTTCAAAGTAATAAGTACTCTGTTTCCATAAGAGGGTCTTTGTTTACTCCAGTAACAAGATGCTGGACAAGGACTTATAAACTCAAATAGTTGCCTCGTTGAGGTATCAGAAAGCTTCCAAAAATAAATCAAGCTGAACTTTAGACTGTTCCTTTCTTTTATTCTGAAAAGTAATCTTGTCTATTTCCAGCTTGGAATTGGGAGCGGAGATCAGGTTAAGGATGTTTACTGTGATTTTCGCTGTTTGGTTTGAAACATTGTGAAGTCCCAGACTATACCCATATCTTGCAATCTGAACAGAAATAGGGTTGCAAACTTCTTTTACATCTATATAGCATATTTGTATGGTGTCTGAAAATAGTGGGGCTTAGTGAACAGGTGAATAGGATAATCAGAATTGGATTCAAGGCCTAGGTTTTCTATTTATAAACTGTATTACCTTGATTTGTTTAACTTATTTAGCCTTAATGTCCTTATGTGGAAAATACCTAGGGCATAAATACTTAGGTTCATACATGCATAATGAAAATATAAATGTAGTGTAATATAGTTCATGTTAAGGTGTAGCCAAATCCAATGAACTCATTCATTAAAAAAATGTTTATTGCATTCCTGTGTGTGCCCAAATATGATCATCATAGTAATGACTCCTCCAATTATCTGCCTTTTAAAACTGCTTTCATTTTTAAAGGCACAATTCAAATGTCTATTTCAATAAAGTCTACCCGCCCCTCTTCCCATCACACATACACTATAAAAAGGAATCATTTTCTCTGTATTCTGTCGGCATGTGAGCTCTAGCTTGGCATTTATTTCACTGTTTCATTTTAAAAGCAATAGAAAAAAAATTAAAAAATAAAATAAATAAAAGCAATTAGCTTATGGCATTGGGTCGAAGGTCGTATGGGTTCCCACTGGTTTTGACATCAGAGAGATGTTAATTTTTATCTCTACTTTGTCACTTGCTTTCTTGGTAAAGATTTCTCCTTTTTGTGCTCGTTTATTTATCTATAAGATGTGAGGAGGGGAAAAGAAGAGGATAAGAACTACTACCTCATAGTTTTGTTGAACGATTAAGTGGTATAAGTGGCCTAAGTAAGTGTTCAATAAATGGTACTGAATATGTTATTGTTATTATTTGTATATGACATCTTATTTATTGTTTGTAAACATGATGTGACTTAACTAAAACAACCTCCTCTAGACTGTACGCATTTTAGAACAGAGAGCTATTGCTTGGCATTTTGCATAAAATTTTATAAATTAACAAATATTTGTTGATTAAATACATTAACTTTCATCTTTACTTGACTTTTAAAAAGAATAGTATTGGCAGATATCAAAAAAAAATAATTCACAGAAGTGGTTTTCTAAATGACTTTCTTTTAAAATCCCTACAGGTATTCTCATATCCCATAACTTCCATGGCCTGAAATCTGAGTGTTCCACCAAGATAATATGATAGGAACTTTCAGTGATTTGGAGCCATATCCTACTTAGACTAATGTGGGCCTTCCAGATTTCCTGAGAGCTTGGTACAGAGCACACTCTGCTTGCTAATCAACACAGGCAATAATGCCATCTCTGCCTCAAGAGAGAGGTAAGCAGGTTGACTTAATCACATTACAGAAAATAGATGCATTATAGATCATCACTGCTAATTTTTTTTAAGCATTAAAAATTAATTGGAGACTTTAAAGAACCAGAAGTTATAATTTTACCTTTTTGTGGGAAAACATTTGTGGTGTCTGGTATGGAGCTTCCATTATTTCAATGATATTTGGTTGGTTTACATTTCTTTTGAAGTTATTCAGGGACCCTCACCCCTGGATCTGAATACAGAATTGCCTTATCAAAGCGCAATGAAAAGGAAAGTCAGAAAGAAGAAAAAGAAGGGAACAATTACAGCAAACGTTGCTGGGACAAAGTTTGAAATTGGTAGGTCTCACAAACATGAAATTTTCATACTTGTTGGAAAAACTAGTTTGACGTTGAAAGCAATGTGGAAATTCAGAGAGATATATCTTATGTAATGGATTTTTAAATGCCTTCTATAAAATTTTATTTTTTGTGAGATATTTAACATGTCAGCAATCAAGTAGAACATCAACATAAACTAAAACCTTTAGTTATTAGTGGGATGATTTTTATTAAACTGAATTTTAAAATTAAGTGTAAAATTATATGAACATTAATTAAATAGATTAAAATGTTAAACATAAAATGAACAGTGTAAAATTTGAGATTTTTATTGAACAATGAGAACCTGACTCAAAGAATAAGGTAAAAACATATTTCTCTCTGTGCTTTAAAAAGTATTTTAATGGTGCTGTTGCTTTTTTATTAATGAAATTCTAGTTTTTACATGTAAACAGTATCTGTGGTGTAGAGAGCAGATAAAAATATTAATTGCTTTAAATTAAGATACTTTTGCCCAGCATTGCAAAACTCATTATAAATACCATAAGTGCTCAAATAATATTCCTCTTTTATTAATAATTTTGCATTAAAGGAATTGTGGAAAATCATATGAACCTCAAGGATGTTAATTATTCTTAGTCTCATTAATCTTTGGGAATCTCATTTCCATTTATAGTAGCTCACGGAAGTTTATCAGCAATCAATGGAATATTTCTCTGGAATTGAGATTCCCCCAATACTGTTCCAACAGTGTTCCTCAGGGGGAAAGACTAACCAAGTCAGTGTGAGAGGGTGAGTTGTGAGAAGGACAGGGTATACTTACAGCATATTTTTCTAGAGTGAAAAAACAAGAATAAAATGACCATTGTTAAAGTGACTGATATGTGGTTTTAACATCCTCCCAATTACTTTTAAGGTTCTTGTGGGTTTCATAGGGAACCTCGGTTTAAAGAAAATGCGGTTCCTTTTCACTTTCCCAGCAAGTTTCTAGAAGGTCGAAGTTGCATTAGCATTCTTCACACTGATTCTGGTTCCATTTCTGTTATCAAGGTCTTCCCAGTTATTTCTGATAGGTTGCAGACAGTGTTTCTCATTTACTCAGGTACAAGTCTGCTCCTGAGCCGCTGTTTTGACTTGATCATTGTTTTTTTCTTATGAGCCAGTTAAAGGAGTCTCCCAGGCTGTGTCGCTGTTGCCCTGGCCCTGCCCAGGAGCTCTGGGTGGCATAGCAACTCCTGAGCCCTCAGGATGCCAGAGCTACCTGGTGGTCTGTGGCAGATGAGAGGAGCAGCTCTTTCCCCAACTCTTGAGCATTATCATCTGGGCCTTCAGAACAACCCCAAGTTTTACTGAGACTTTCACGGAAAACAGTAACTTCAGCTCAACAGTTCCTTCTCCAGCCTCATCCGCTTCCAGTCACTGTCCTCCTCTTTTATACCTGTGCTGTAGGCATTACTGCATAAAAAGTTCTTTTGTTTTCCTCAGCCAAAAAAACAGTCAAGAGTCCCTAAGACTTGAGACCAACAGGTGTCTACAACTCAGTTCATGCTTGAGCCAAGTAAATTCAGTCAATTGATCCCTTTTTAAAAAATTTTATTTTTCAATTATAGTTGGCATTCAATATTATTTTACATTAGTTTTAGGTGTACAGCATAGTGGTTAGATATTTACATAAGTTACGAAGTGATCCTCCTGATAAGTCTAGTACCCACCTGGCACCATACATAGTTATTATAATATTATTGACTATATTCCCTATGTTCTGCTTTACATCCCATGACTATTTTGTAACTACCAATTCGTCAATTGATCCCTTTTTACCATTTCTCCTTATATATTGAGTATCAGTAAAAGTAAAACATTTACAAATAAAATGCTGAAGCACTATATATAGTTACACCATTCTATTAGACAGAACTCCAAATTTATCCTAAGTATTCTGCTTATCTTTATTCTAGGTAAGAATAAGCTTGAAATTTATTGGATGAAAAATGTCAATATGTTAATTGTGTTATCTAAATCAGAGAGAAGCATCTGTATGTCTGTGTGTGTGTATATATATATATACACACATATGTATATATACACATATGTGTGTATATATACACATATGTGTATATATATACACATATATACATATATAAAATTTGTACTAAAAAGCAACCTTTATCTGAGCATAAATTTTTTCAGAAGGACTAGAGGATTTGGAACAGGTGGGAGGACCAGTTTCTAAATCCCTGCAGTGGATTCTGCTTTATTATTTCTGATCCTGCGTTGACATAGCTGACTTGGTTTTAACTGCTAAAGATAATTTGAACTAGGGAAGTGGAAAGTATAGCATAGGTCTAATAATCAGGGGCTGTTTTTTCTTTTCCCTTTTGTACTTGCCCAAGGTCACAAAAAAGCCATAAAAGTACATTTTCCTGAGTAGGGTGTTGTCTCAGCTGTGTGTGTGTTTTCTTTGTGCCAGGAATAATCACTAAACTCTTTAGCAGTGTTGTGTACCTGTTAAAATCTCAGAGGATTGAAACTAAGGATTTTGGGTGCAGGGTAAAAACAGTTCTCAGTTACTGTGGAGGATAAGTTGGCCCTCAATAAATTGTTGTAACTGAAAATAAGGTTGTGTTATAACTTATAGATATTTTGCCAGTGAAATATTTCCCCAGTGAATATATTTCAGAAGTATGATTTTGGTTTAACTTAACTGTTTACTTGCAGTTCGTTTAGTAATAGATGAAATGGGATTTATGAAAACTCCAGATGAGGATGAAACAAGTAACCTTATATGGTGGGATTCTGCGGATCAGCAGGAGCAGATTGCAGATTTTTTTCAGGTGGGGAATTAATTATGCCCAATTATTGCTCATTAGGAACGTTATATGACTTCCCTTATAATTTTCTTTAGATAAGATTTCTTAATATGTTGACATGTTAAATTTTAGTCTTAAGTTATCTGAATAGACTGTTTTGTTGCTATCCAGTTATATTGACTCTTCATATGAAGCCTACATTCTTTCAAATTTAACTTTTAACCTCTTTCCATCTTTAAGGAAGAACTGATAGAAGAAATCTTCCTAGGCTGATGCCTTGCATTGTGCTTAAAGATGAGTGATGTGGAATAGATTGCATAGAGATCAGGATGTGGAAATACTTTGTAATATTGGCTGTGTGTACTTTGGCTTCATTCTTTTATTTTTAGGATGTAAAACAAACATTTAAAATATACATCAAACTAAAAAGTTAAATGCACAGAATTTTAGACAACTGACATTTCATATAGTTCTTCGTCTGTTTAGTATAGAAAGTAATACGAAATTCGCTCTAGAGAAGAAATAAGTCCATTTTGACCAGTCTTTCTACTATGCATATCTGTATGAATAACTTTAATGTCTGCGTAAATACCTTTTCTGATTTCCTTAAAATTTTGCAATTTCATTCTCTGATTACCATAGATGGTTTAATTCACCATAGGTAATTTAATTTAAATATTTTACATTACTAATGGTCAGTTTATTAAAACATGAAAACTCAAAGAACAGATGTAACTGTAGTATAAATGAATATAAGTCAATGAGAATATTAATGTTTATCTTTTTATTTTTCAGAGGATCAACCATTTTCCAGGAATGGGGGAGATCTGTAGGAAGGATTTCTTAGCAAGAAATATGACCAAGTAATTTTTATTTATTTTTTTGTAATAGAAAAGACCTGTTCAAAATTTACATTTTAAATATGGTAGTGCTATCATCCACAAAGTCACATTGATTTGAAATTATATTTTGATGGACGAGATAGAATTTTAGAGCTAGTGGGGTTAAAGGTTCTCCAGTTCAAGTCTTCCACTTTGCAGAGGAGGTAACAGGGTCAGAGAAATGAATATCTTGCACAAAGTCAAACAAATAGAGTTGGAGCAGAATCTTGGTTTCTAGAATCTCAGTACTCTTTTTACTTTTTATTCAATATGTACTTACTTGTTTTCCATTCAACCTTGTGAGAACTAATCTGTTGTATTAATACCGTGTGTGCATGTGTGTATTCATATACTGGTTATTGAGCATCTAATATGTGCCAGGCACTGTAGTAGGTGCATGAGTGTACACACATACACATGGACACATATATATGTGCCCATCCATGGATATACATGCACATATATTTATTTCTGAGACTACTATTTAGAGTTACAATCTATTTTTGTGGGAAAAACTATTCACAGTTACTTATGTGTTATACTAAATGAACTGTAGAATTTTTACATAGTTTATATTTCTGTTGACAAGTTTTTTTTTTAATTTAAGAAAGTTGAGTGATAAATTGAGAAAAAAAATTTAAAAGAGATCTCTTTCACAGAGAAAGGTTAGTAAAACATGTGTGATTAAAGAACTATTTGTATTTATCTATGTGAAAGTTTATACATCCATTCACTCAACAAATGTTTTTGCATGTCTATTTTATACTCTAGGGACTGCTAATTTTTAAGTAAACAAAATAAATAAGGACTAGTTCCTGCCTAGAACTCACATTTTAGTGAGAGAAAGACTGATGCATATAATATAGTTTGATGGTGCCACATTTGAGCTAGAATCAATGTATGATGGTGACAAAGATGGTGAGAGAGATTATTTTTGGGAGAGCGGGGAAGGCTTTCTGGAGAACTTAAATATGAGATGGATATTGAAAAGTGTATAGGATTTCACCCTTTGAAAAGAAGGGAAGGAAATTGAAGGCAAAGACAACAGTGGGAGAGAATATATGGAGACTTAAACCAACATGATATGTTTGGGGAATTGTAAGCAGTTTCTGTGGTTATATAGGATGTTAGGAGGCTCGACTTCAGATGATGCTGAAGTTAATGCAAAGACTAGGCTGTGTATGCCATGTTATTATGTTTTATTTAATCATTTAATCATTGATTCCTTAACCGCTTTAACTATTCAGCAAACATTTTGGTTATCTTGAGAGAAATGAGGATTTATTTAATAGATTTAAGCACAGAAATAACATATTTTTAATAATTTTGGTGGCAGTGTAGATAATGGATTCAGTGAAGGTAAGACTAGAGGGAGAAATCCCTGGAGAAGGAGATGAATGTGAATATCTAGGTGAGAAATAATGAACATCTGATAAACCAAAAGAAAGATAGAGGGGGAATGGGGAAGAGAAAATAAATCTGAAAAATACGAAGGACATAGAATCAGTAGTACTTGAAAACAGTTATGATGTAAGAATTAAAGAGGAGGAGCGGGAGAGAAGTCTCCAACATGATTCCTAGGTTTCTGGCTTAGGATATTGTGTATGTGTTTTGATTGCTTAATATAGGGATTAGGGGAAGAATGGATTTCAGAGGAGAGGGAAGTACCTCTGTAAAGTTTTAGATATGTGTTTTATTTAAGTCATTTATTTTCCCCAAACACATATTTATTAACTATCTATTATATGCCAAGTACTGTGCTGGGCTCTGGGCACATGGGGTGATCAAAAGCAGATTTATAGCTTTTATAACTTTGGATCGCAACTGTGTAATATTCTGAAGTAAAAGTACATCATTCTAAATCGGTGCATAGTAAGGGACTCTAACTTTGGAAGGCATTAGAGAAATTCCCTGAGGAAGTGATATGGAAGCTGAAATATAAATGATGAGTAGGAGTTTACTGGTGAAGGTGGTAGGTAACAGTCTTCTGGGCAGGAAGAATGGCATGGGCTGAGGTCATGTGGTAGGAGAAAGCATGTATAGTCAAGATACTGAAATAAGGCCAAGTATAGCTGGAGCACAGAGATATTGATCGAGAATGGAGAAGAGATTAGCTGAAGGATGATTTTTATGATTATGGTCTTTATTCTAAATACCATAGGAGAGGAATGGGAGGTGAAGTTGCTAATATGACCAGATTTCATTTTGAAAAGATCATTCTGGCTGCTTTATAGAGAACTGAAGTCTCTATGGTTGAGAGAGGCAAGAGGGTTAAATGTAGACTCATTAGTAAGCTATTGCAAATAGGCAATTTCTTTCTCTATAGAACCCTTGGAGTTCTCCTTAAGGAAAAAAATAACCTCCTAATAGAAAAAAGAGTTGACCTAGTAATGTAAAAATAGAATTAACTAAATCACGTGTTTAATATAATTTAGTAAATCCATGACAGAGCAATGAGCAGAAACTATCCCAGATTCCCAAATTTCTAAACAAGACCACATGTCTGTTTTGAAGCTATACATTTTTACATCAAATGATCTGTTCTACATTATCTAAATGAAATAAAGTATTTCTCTTGAATATATGTGTGCTTGAGTTTTTTCTAAATACACATGTGAAAGAATGTTATTAATCAATAGTATAAGGTTAGTTTTAAAAATATATTGTTCTAATTAAAGCTTTAACTTCATCTAATTTCATACCATTGTTACAAATATAATAAATACATTTAAAGGTGTTGAAAACAGAAACAAACACAGCATTATTATTGTTGTTCCTTTAGATCTGTGTGTGTGTGTGTGTGTGTGTGTGTGTATGCGTGTGTGTGTCTTTCAAACTAGTCAATGTTTGTACTGAGCTTAGTTAGCTTATTGGCTTATTCTGGATTTGAAAGATGGATTTGGTAATTATTTCCCCTCTCATAATGGAAACATAAATTTCTTACAGGATTCTCTTGAAAGAGCACTCGAAATATAACTGTGTGAACCTCCAATTGTGGAGACCAAGTGGCTTATGTATTCCATACCCTAGTCTTAGAATGTAGGCCCTACCTCTGTGCATACTGTATATTATGGTTCCACTTTAGTTTTTACTAATTTCATTTTAGGGTAATAATCTGCTCAGCTATAAAAGATTTGCATATATTTATAAAAAAGACCTTTTTCTGAACAGATTTTTTTAATAGATAATATTTTAAATATTTCAAATTCATTTTTATTGGGAATCAATATGTACAAAATGGCTAGCATTTGGGATTCATCAAAAGTAAACATTGTATCTCTAAGTTACATATCTTTAAGTTATATCAAATAGCCTGATTTGTAGTAAATACAAAAATATTAGAACATACATTGTAGTCACAAAATTATATGTATAGATACACATAGTTCATATAAACAAAACCTTTACTGACTCAAAGCTTCACATAGTTTTTTCAGAAAAGTGGATAAACTCCTAAAAACACTGGCATAAAAAGTGATCAAAAACTGCTCCCTATGGATGACCCAGAGATCTCAAATTCATCTTTAAAGAAATTATATGAATGATACCTGGCTATGAACCATTGCCTACTGCTCACCTGCATCCCTGAGTAGAGTTAATGACTGCACATGTTATCTCACACTCTATGCCTTTATTGCACCTATTAATTCCTTAGGGAAGAGACCATATTAATCTTAATATCCTCAGTACCTAGCACATGATATATAGTCAAATGAGTGGTTGCTCTACTGATATGTAAATTAGTATATAGAACAGATAATTGTGTCTATTTTTTCACTGATGTATTTCCAGTGTCTAGAATAGTACCTAGCATACAGTAGATGTTTAATAGACGTTTCCTGAATGAATCAATGAATGACTCAATTCATGAAGAAACAGAGGGATTTAAATCTTTGTAGTAAATGTCAGTAGCACAGAGAATGAAAATTTAGAAAAGTTTGAATAGAAATTACTTTTCTTATTATCTCTGATTTACAGAATGATCAAGTCTAGGCCTCTGGATTATACCTTTGTTCCTCGAACATGGATCTTCCCTGCTGAATATACACAATTCCAGAACTATATGAAAGAACTGAAGAAAAAAAGAAAGCAGAAAACTTTTATAGTAAAACCAGCTAATGGTGCAATGGGTCATGGGTATGTATTTTTCACCTGGAATATATTAACAAATTTGAGCTAATGGATAATAAATGTGAGCATTCATTTATGTTTGAGTATCACTATGACAAAATAATAAAATAGGTTTTTAATTATTGCTTTTTTGGAACTAAATATTTAATGTATCCTTTTACTCGGTCTCACAGGTTTTAATTAATTCGATTTAAAAAGCAAATCAACAGGTTGTAAGACTTTAATAGGAGACAACGAAATAGAGAAAAAGGATGTTTTCTAATTTTTAAACAAATGTGCATTAATAATAATTATAGAGTTAAGATTGGAGAATGAAATTCAGTTGATACAGTAGAGCTAAACTGACTTGGAGAAAGAGATGTAAAGGAAGTTCTCTTTTCATAGCTAGAAATCTTAAAGCAAACTATATATCTTCTTTGCTTTCCAAGTAAGTTTTTTTCTTTATGTACCCATGGTAATTGAATTGAAAATGAGTAGGACACATTAAGCTAAAGTACCAAGAACTAGGCATGTTATCTAGAATAAAATATATAACTTATGTTCTGTTTCCTTTTGCTTTCTTATGTTAGTTTTCTGCAATATACATTTTCAAAGAAAATGTGGCTGAGGGTGCTTTTAATAAAAAAATATGTCATTTAAATCTTTTGTTTTATATAGTGTGGGGAAAAAAAGATATTTGGAAATGTAGCTGCCAGGTAAATTATTGTTCGACAGATTTCTCTTTGATTTTAATCATAATTTAATAACTTAATCAGACATTTTTAACTATGGTTTAGTAATTTCAAAAGTAAACTTTTATTAGTGGGAATTTTATATTGTTTAATGTAAAGATGATTTTCTGTATGTTAGTATTGAAGAAAAATTGGGGAGGATAATTGAAGTTCACATTTTCCTCAATTTTAATGTGAACAAATATTAAAATTTGTATTTATAACTACATTTAATGTTAAAACATAACTATTAATCTAATTTGACAACAGTATAAAAAATAGCTGAAAAATCATACTGTGCCAGAGTTTATCTCATGTAATGTGGTGGTACATAGGTAAAGGACACCTTTCATCTGTGGAATATATCTGTTTGTTTGTTGGTCTTCTGTTTGGTTGTTCTATCCATTAGTGAAAGTGGGGTATTGAAGATTCCAACTGTTACTATTGAACTATCTATTTTCCCTTTCAATTCTATCGGTTTTTGATTCATACATTTTGGAGCTCTGTTATGTGTGTACATTTTTATAATTATTATATCTTCTTGATGCATTGACTTTTTAAAATCACCTACTCTTCTTCTTTGTCTGTAATAATTTTTATCTTAAGGTCTATTTTGTCTGATACTGGTATAGTCATTCCAGTTCTTTTTGGCTACTATTTTCATGAAATCTCTTTCCATTCATTCACTCTCAACCTATTTGAGTCTTTGAATCTAAAGTGAATCTCTTGTAGTAGAACCATTTTTTTTTAGTGTGTTCTGCCAAATCTTGTCTTTTAATAGGAGAGTTAATCCATTTGTCCTTAATGTCATCATTGATAACGAAAATTGTCTTCTGCCATTGTGCTATTTGTTTTCTATGTCTTATAGTTTTTATTTCTTAATCCCTCCATTTCTGCCCTCTTATATATTAAATAATTTTTTAGTTTACCAATTTAATATTCTTGTCATTTTTTTACTATATATTTTTCAGTTACCTTTTTAATGGTTGCCCTCAATTTATACTAATCTTGTTTAGATTGAAATCAATTTAGTTTCAGTAGTAAAAAACCAAACCAAAGCAAAAAACTTTGCCCTTATAGAGCTCTGCTTCCCTTTATTGTCCCACATTACATCTGTATACATTTGTGTACCCAATAACATAGGTTTATAATTATTATTTTATGCAGTTGTATTTTAAATAATATGGAAAGAATGAGGAGTTACTAACCTAAACTACACAATGGTGACTTTCACATTTACCCATATAGTCACCTTTAAAAGTGTTTTTTATTTCTTTGTGTGCATTTTAGTTATTGTTTAGTGTCCTTTGAAGGATTCTCTGTAGTATTTCTTGTAGGCCAGGTAAACTAACAACAAATGCTCTCAGTTTTTGTTTATCTGGGAATGTCTTAATTTCTCCTTTAATTTTGAGTAGTTTTGCTGGATATAGAATAATTTTGAATAGTTTTGCTGGATATAGAATTCTTGGTTAACAGCTTTTTTTTTCTTTTTCTGTCATCTCTTTGAATATGTCATTTCACTGTGTTCCAATTTCCATCGTTTCTGATGCAAAATCAGCTATTTATCTTATTGAGGATCCCTTGGTATGATGAGTTGCTTCAATCATGCTACCTTCAAGATTCTCTCTTTGTCTTGGATTTTGAGTTTTATTATGTTTCTTAGTTTGGATCTCTTTGATTTATCCTCCTTGGAAGTCATTGAGCTTTTTGATATGTAGGTTAATATTTTTCATCAAATTGAGAAGTTTTCATCCATGAATTTTTCAAATATTCTTTCTGCTCCTTTCTTCCTCACCTCTCTTTTTGTGGCTCCCATTATGTGTATGTTAGTATTCTTCTTGATGTCCCATGGGATTCTTAGCTCTGATTATTTTTCTTCATTATCTATTCCTCAGACTAGTTAATCTTAACTGACCTATCTTCAAGTTTTCTTACTATTTTCTGCCTCTCTAAATCTTGTTTAGTTCCTCTAATGACTTTTTTTTGTTTCAGTTATTCTTTCAACTTCTGGATTTCTGTTTGAATTCTCCCCTGCCCAATTTTAAAAAATAATTTCTATCTCTGTTGATATTCTCTGTGTGATGAGATAGCATTCTCATGGTTTCTTTCAGTTCTTTGTACATGATTTCCTTGAGCTCTTTGAACAGATTTAAAATAGTTGATTACATAATTGATTGCCTGGTAAGCCCTATGTCTGGGTTTCCTCAGAGACAGCTTCTATTAATTGATGATTTTCCTATATATCGGACATACATTCTCGTCCTCCTCCTCTTCTTCCACCTCCTCCTCTTCCCCCTTTCCCTCCCCCTCCTCCTTCTCCTTCTCCTTCCCCCCCCATTCTTCCTTTTTTCTTTTTTTTTGCATAACTCATGAATTTTTGTTGAAAAACTGGAAATTTTGAATATTATAATGTAGCAACTTTGGAAATCAGCTTCTTCCCCCTCTACAGGTTTTTTGGGTTGCTGTTGTTGCTTGTGGTAGTTGTTATTGATTTGTTTAGTGGCTTTTCCGAAATAATTTTGTAAAATCTGTATTCCTTATTGTGTGTGGCCACTGAAGTTCCTGTTCTCTTAGGTCAGTGGTCAGATAGTAATTTGTCTTAAACACTTGGAACAAAAAAAATTCCTAATCCTTGCAGATGGGCTATGTGTGTGTGTGTGTGTGTGTGTGTGTGTTTGTTTGAGCATGCCTTCAGCACTCAGCTAGGTAGTTTACAACTCTGCCTTAGCCTTTACTTTTTACTTGTGTCAGAGGAAGAGCTTAGGGCCTTCTTAGGTCTTTCCTTAGCATGTACCTAACTCTGGGCATGCACATGGCCCTCTAGATCCTAAAAATATGTCAGTGATTTTCAAAACCCTTTTACCGAAACATTCTCATTCCTGTCTTTCTTCCCAATTTTTTAGTTAGTCTGTTGTTTTCCCCCAACTCTTATTTGTTACATTAGGCAGCAAGGACTAATATATTTGTCTTTAAATGTTTTCCACAATTGCCTCCCCAAGTAGCTGCCTCAGCACCTGGAGATTTCCCAGTTATGCAAGGTAAAGCAAATCCTTTGAAGTCCTCCGGTGAGCCACTGGACAGGTTAAAAACAATAGCAACCATCCACCACAAGAATAAGGTCTCTGCTGTTCCTTCTAGAACCAGAACCTGTACTGGGAATAAGGGCACTTCTGAACTGGGATTCGTGGGGTGGGACCAGAATAAGGTAAAATGCCACAGAGCCCTTTTATACAAATTCAACTTTTATTTATTTATTTTTTATTACATGTTCCTTGGTTGTTACTAGCTTTTGGTTAATTTCCAGGATTTCAAAATAGTTGATTCTGACATTTTATTTTTTTCCCATTTATTGCTTTTGTGGAGAGACAGCCTTTGGAGTTACTTACTCTGCCATTTTCCTCTTGAGTATTATGTATAATCTTGTAAACATCTTGACTCCAAATCAAAGTATTCTTTTAATTTTTTTCTTTAAACCTAGGATTTCTTTGATAAGAAATGGGGACAAACTTCCATCTCAGGATCATTTGATTGTTCAAGAATACATTGAAAAGCCTTTCCTAATGGAAGGTTACAAATTTGATTTACGAGTTTATATTCTAGTAACATCGTGTGATCCATTAAAGATATTTCTCTACCATGATGGACTTGTGCGAATGGGAACAGAGAAGTACATTCCTCCTAACGAGTCCAATTTGGTAAGTGATACCAGACAGAATCTATGATTTTATTCATTTGTTCATCATGTACTTTTTAAAGCACTCATTGTTTATAAAGGCATATGAATGAGAGCCCCTCCTCTCAGGTTTTTATAATCTAAAAGAATTGTATACACAAAGAAGATTACTTCTAATTTGTAGACACCTTTGTGAAAATTAGGACTAAAAGGTTTCTGCTCCAGGAAGGCTAGTTAGGAAAGACCACCCTCTTTGGGTGCCGTGAGCATAAGGATGGATTTCAAAGCACAGTGGCCCCATATAGAAATGTGTTTTAGAGCACACTTGTGTGTGTGGTAGCCTTGCATAGAAAAAAAACACATACACATACATATGCAGCAGCCCTGTATTGAAATGGATTTCAAAAGACATATGTGTATTCAGTGGCCCTGGATAGAAATGATTTATATAGAAATATAAATAAAATAATATGCCATTGGGAAGTACAGATAAAATGTTATGGAGTCGAATATAGGGATAGTTTGTGTTCAGCTTCTCACAGAGAAGTGGTATTTGAATAGGTTTTGTATAAAAGGTACGATTTAAACATGTAAAATGTGAGAGAAAGTATATGAAACAGAAAGGAAAAGTTATCAGAAAAGAGAGTTATTTATTTCTGTCTCTAAAACCAAGAGAAGATTGTAAATTTACATTGACCATATTCGAAGCAGAGACAAATTGTTTCAGTGTGATTTTTAAGTCTATTAAATGGAGCTTTTTGTAGATATTTTTCTATTAAGATTTCCTTTGTGCAGCCATAATATATTGATGACAGTCATAACTGTAATTTACAATTGATGAAGGTCAAACTGTAATTTATTTTCATAATTTATCATGAAAATTAGAAACTGTATAGTTTATTAAAGACAAACTGTAATTTATTATCTGTATTTATTAATTTATCATTAAATAAATTTAAAAGTTTAGTTAACTTCTAGCCTTGTTTTTGGGTTTACTAATCGTGGTAAACATTACAATTAATTAAGTATTTTTTCTCATTTTGTCAAAGGCCTGGTTATTGTTCTCCAATATTATTCACTTAAGTAACTCCATTAAGAGTGGTCACATTTTCAAATGAAAAGTGACTTACCATAAATTAACTGAAAAACATTGTAAACCTGGCAAAAGAAGAATAAGGAACTGGCAAAGTTTTTGCAGGAAAGGAAGATAAAAGAAAGAATCATCTCTTTAAAGGTCATAAAGTATGAATATATCCAATCACCAAGTAATGTTTGAACTCTCGGGCATTCTTGGCATTGTGCTGGTTTTGGAAAAACAGTGACCAAGACAGATATAGTATTTGACCTGACAAAAGTAGCAGTCTGGTAGGAAGGCAGAAAATAAAATAATTGATTATAATACCTGATGGTAAGTGTTATGGCCTAAGAAACTGAGAAACTATGTAATGCTATGCAGTACATAGCAGGGGCATCTAACCCAGTTGGAGATGAAGGTTAGAGAGGGAGTTTGTAAAATTAAATCTGAGTAATAAGGAGTTAGCCAGGTTGGGGTGGGGTGGGGTGCAACTCCAGGGAGAATAATGGCCCAAAGGTAAAAAGGAGCATGGTATGTCTGGAGAAAGCAGACTCATTCAATATGGCTAAAGTACAGACTAAGAAGTGGTGGATATTCAGATATAAGGATGGAGATTCCTAGAGGCCAGATCTTTCAGAGCTTGTAGGCTACGTCTAGGATTTTGGAATTTAACCTAAGAAGAGGTGAAGCATTGAAAGATTGTAAAGATAGACATACAGAATGAGATTTATATCTTAAAAATATCACCTGGTCTACAGTGTGGGGAATGTGAGATGGGGCTATAGATACATGGGAGAGACTAGAGTATTCTAGCCTAACCAGATGTGAGAGGAAAGATGACTTAATTTGAAGTAATAGTAGTAGGGCTGGACTAGGAATAAAAACATAGGTTTAAGATATATTTATGATAACATGGATAACATTGATATAATATACAAACAGGTTGGTTTTGTAGAATGAAGGAAAGGGAGAAAGGAATTAAGGGTAAACCTCAAGATTATTGGCTTACGCAGTTGTGTGGATGGGGTACTTTCAGTGTGATACGGAATACAGGAGCTGTTAAAAGTTTTGCAGTAATCTGATATTTTTTGTTTGATATGCCTGTGTGACCTCCAAATGGGTCTATACTATAAGCATTTGGATCTGTAGTATAGGTCTAAAGTTCAGACGAGAGAGCTGACTTGTCAACTCATAGATTATAATTAAATAATTGGAATGGGTAACAATGGATTATATACAGGTGAGCAGGTAATCATGGTTTGAGAAGAAAGGGCAAGACAAGAGATAGGAAAGATTAGGACTTGTAAACTCATTTAGGTAATAAAGTGATTTATTCTAATACCTTGAATTATACTTATGTGATTTACTTAAGTACAGTGTGTTAGGAAATCATAATGAAAGATTGGGAGTCAGGAAATGTGGCTTATAGGTTTCATTTTCCCAAGTGCTCTTGAATCATGTAATATCCTGGCTTTGGTTTTTACATGTGTAAAAAACAATGTTCTTAAACATAAATATCAGTGTTCCTCATATAGCTCTAAAATTCCATAATCACATTCCTAGATTAAGATATGAAAAAATACAGAAATGAAATACAAAATTTTATCTCTAAAGTAAGAGCATTTACCTTATGTAAAAGGTAAGTTTAAGAAAAAAGTCTGAAAAAAATAAACCAAAATGCTCTCATTGGTTCTTTTTGGATGGAAGACTGCTGCATATTTTTTTCTTCTATTTCCGATTTTTTAAATAGTGAGCATGCATTTTGTAATGAGCTGTGTATTTTTATAATAATTAAATATTGATTAAATATAAGATCATAAGAGAGGATTTCAGGCATTGAAATATAATAAACATTTATGTCTTGCTATCAGTGTTGTCATCAGCCAGTCCTTGAAAAGGTTAGTGTATCCCAATTCATTATATTTAGCCTATATACTTAAAAATAGGGTGGAGAATAGTTTATCCTTTTCATCCCTTGCAAATTGCTATTTGGTTCATAGCTGCCATCACTTCTGCTTAAGGCAGTCATCCAGCTGGCAATGAACTGTTTAGAAGGGGATTTCTGTCAAGGTAGATGTGAAACAGGAAATTCCAATCCTACTTACAAAGATAATGTTTTAAGAAAAACGCAAAGTAGTATTTCTTATTCACTAGGATAGCTAGTTTTTATTAGTTATTATTATTTATTTTAAGAAATTCTTGCCAAATGAAGAGATCTCAAAAAGTTTCTTTTCAATCAACTTTAAACTTAAAAAAAAGATTTATATTTTGGAAACAAGGAAATGTTATATTTTGATTAATTTTGTTTTTTTAAAGATCAAATATTTAAAATTAGACAAGTATAAAGTTTATGTTCTTTCTTTTAAATATCATTTAATTTAAAGCTTTTTCCAAGTTTCATGAAGGTATGAGACTGTGTCTATCTTGTTCATCTTTGTATCCACAGTGCCCAGCACAAATTTCTGCCTATAGTAGGGGTTCCTTGTTTAATGAATGAAAATATTGTTTAATGAATGAAAAAATAAATTCTTAATTAGTGGTGGGCACATGGGTTGATAAACAACATGTAACTCAAATGAGGAGTTCTGCATATTTGCTTCAAAGATTTTAAGACTATAGACCTAAGTAACTGTAGTGAAAATAAAATAAGATATGAATATACTTGGTTATTAGCAAATCAAAATATTAATCATGTGCATGAAGTATATATTCATTGTGATGCAACATTTCTATCTAAAATAATGTCTAGAAGTGGGATCATGAGGATAGGATTTATAGACTTGATGAATGTTTGTGCTAGATTGATAAGGGGCCATTAGATGTGTACTAATTGACAATTGTGGGAAGTTTAAAATTTTTTTTTCAAGTTTGAGGATAACAATATCAACAAACATAGAATGTAAAGAGACTGAGACATAAAAGCCCCAATGTGAAGCACTGTAAATGTACTCTTAATCATTTAGACTGTACAGTATTGTGTGCTGCTTCTGTCTGCTGACTGAGTGCACTCTGTCTTGTTAATGAGTTAAAGTGGCCTCCTAGTCAATATGGGAGGACAGAGGCAGTGTTTGGTAGTCCCTGCCTCTTGATTTATGCTATTTACTTCAGCTTTCATTTTTTCGGGTTTTCTTTGAAAATATATAGAATGTTCCCTCAGAAAATTCCTTTTCCAAAATAAATTTGGGTGAAAACTGTGACTAAAAACATTAAAAACAAACAAATGAACAAAAACAAGTGAGCATTTTTCTTGCTTAGCAATATATAGTTTCACATTTTCATTAATTATATATTATTTTTATTTTAATACTTTTATAGTAGATATTTTGAAAGATATATAAAGTAACTCTTTAGATGACTACATTCACAATCTTTTTAAGGGAAATGTGCATTCCATTTAATCTGAATAGTGTCTAAGTAATCATGAAATTGTCAGTCTGTACATTTTAAACTTTAAAATTGTCTTTCCTCTTTGGATGCTTTCTTTTCTGTGAAACTCATGATTCTAGAGGCTCACAGGTGACAACAACTTTGGTTCTTACTTGTTACAGACCCAGTTATACATGCATCTGACAAACTACTCTGTGAACAAACACAATGAGCGTTTTGAAAGGGATGAAACTGAGAACAAAGGCAGCAAACGTTCCATCAAATGGTTTACAGAATTCCTACAAGCAAATCAGCATGATGTTACTAAGTTTTGGAGTGATATTTCTGTAAGATTCTACTATTCCACAATTATAACTTCTTTCTTCAGATTAATTCAAAGGATCATCAAGCATTTTAAATAAAGAGCAGATTACATTAGATTGGGCAGATAACGAGTGTTTTCTTGAAGGAAGTGGAATTTGTGATGGATCTTCATAGATAAGTAATATTTTCACTGCTAGCGATGGGGGAGAGGGAATTCTAGGTGGAGACAAAAGCATAAGTAAGTAAAGGCATGGAGGTATGAGAGTAGTGGTCCAGGTTGGCACATACAGTATTTGTGGGAAATTCATGGGGACATATGGCTGAAAAGATATGTGCCAAAATTTCAGGTCTGAAAATAAAGGCTTAATTTGGTAGGCAGTAAGGATTCATTCTTTCCAGTTGTTAAGGTAGGAGAGTAATAAGGCCAAAGACTATATCAATTTAAAAGACAAATCTGAAAACAGGTATAAGGTGGGTTAGAGTGAAGCCCAAAAGTAGGTGGGGGAGGGCACTTGAGAATAATTTAAGTGAAAAAAAGAAGGCCTGAATTGAACCACAATTAAACAGATAACAATGAGGTAAACATTGGGATTAACCGAATGTCCAGAATGGGGGGAGAAGTATTCACAGATTCCTCTGCAGTTTTAAGGAGGAATTATAGGAAGAATAGCTGTAATATTCTCTGAAATAGAGTAGAAAGGAATTTATTTTGAGAAGATGTAGAGCTTAGTTTTGCAGATGAAGGAAGAGTTCTTCTCATTTATTTGTTTGTTCATTCATTCAGTTCACACTTATTGAACCCATAATATAAGTCTATCTCTTGCTTATAATTTGAAGATTTATAAGATACAGCTCCGGTCCTCAAAAAACTTAGAGTTTGGTAGGACCCTCCCCTCCCGCCCCCCCCACACTTGTTATAATGAAATGCAACGTAGGAAGTACAGCAGCAGAGGCATTCATTGAAGTCTGTGGGGATGTCAGGGAGCCCCACAAATAGTGGCTTTGGGTGGGTGGGGATAGGAGGAGAACTTCCTGGAGGCACTGACACCTGAACACGTAAAAGTCCATGAGACTATGGTGATGAGTTCTACTTTAGATATGTTGAACCTGAAATGCTGTCTCAGGTAGAAAGATTGAGCAGGCAATTAAAAGTGTATGTTTGGTGTGCAGTTGATATTTAATGCCATGGCAGTGGATGAAATTCCAAATGATAAAAGTAAAGAGAATAAATAAAGGAAACAGATATGAGAAGGTAACCTTGGTGAAATAGACCCTTTATTAATCTTAGCAGGAGTATTAAAATGGTATTCAAAATTAGAAGAGTGTGTCTATTAAAAGTACTTAATATATTTAGAGCTATATAATTTAGTATGGCATTCCTTTGTGGACAAATTATATATAATTTAATATATCTATCATGGAAAACAGATATGAAAGTTCATAGTTGAACTTGCTTCTCATGAGAAAATCAGAGAGAAAAACTAGCATCATTATATTATCCTTTTATTGATTGTTTTATTGGTTGATTTTTTTTTTTTTTTGCGTCTTTATTTTTATATCCCAGAATGTAAACCCAAGGGTTCTTGGGTATCAGACAAGTAAAGAGTGAAGGAGAGAAGCAAATAGGGTATGCTGGGAACTGTGGTAATTTGAAGAGCATACGAGATCTCAAGGGCATGGACACTACTCGGCACTAGCTTGTTGGTACCACATGGTATTTTGGGCCCAGTGTGATTCATTCTTCTAATATGTTAGTAGAAGCCATTACTTCTTGATTTATAAATATCGTCAACATATTCAAAATTTTTAAAAATGTATGGGCCCATGAAAAATGTTTGCCATCTGAATTTGGTTAAATGCCCACTAACTTGTTAACTTTCTATTATATCTTCCTGAGAGACTAAAATATATCCAAACAAGAATTTAATTACAATAATGCTGTGTTTATTTATTTATCTCAGCAAGGTCAATTTTGTGGAAATTTCAAAAAATGTTCTAATAATGATAAATTTACAATCATAGTGGATCAGAAGTATCAGAGTAGAGAAATTTGTTATTTTTGGACAGTTGCTTATTGATAGAGGATCATACATGATACTACCTGGATGTTTTAACAGAAGGGTCATTCGATGAATGGCTCAGTGAGCCCCATGAAGTTTTATGTACCCTCTGATATTCTTTTTTCTCTACCAAAATTTTCATTTCCAAATGGGTTTGGTTCTTTGGGGAAGTCTTTGTGAAAAGGTAGAATGTTGAGCTGCCTTGGTGAAGTGTATATAGAGAGAATTAATTAATCAGAAAAATGAGCATTGTTATCTTTACATGCATTGGTTTTAAGTGGCACTTTCCTCACATAATTGAGTTAGGAGAAGGTATAGAAGTAAGACTAAAGCTATTAAGAGGGTATGGAAATTACTCTTTCTGTTAGAGCCTAAAGTATAATTTTCAGATATGAACTAAACATGGCTAATGTGAGCCTGTTAAACTCTGACAAATTTATTATTTCTGCTATAAGTGACTAAATTTTGCATAACTTTTGTCTACATTAGTTAGAATGTATATTAATAATCTATAAATAAGCAATTATTTAACACTTAATAAATTATTAACTTTTCAAAATACATTTCCACATTTATCTTGTCAGGCTATCTACATTTTTATAGTTAAACATTTGTTTTTCTTAAGACTTACTTATACTTTATAAAGTTATCTGTTTAGGTGAATCAATAGAATAATATAAAAAAAGAATGACAGAAGGAGGTGGAGAAGGCAATCTGCAGTAAATTTTTATCTTAATGTCATAGTTTACAAATTTCATGAATTTATTTTAGGACTTTTTTCAATGACCTCTTTTTTGGGGATAATTTTTCTCTAAAAAGTAGCTTTCTAGATCTGAAAACTAACATTTAATACCCTCAATGAAACAGATATGTGTGCTTTTGTGCTAGTCAAGAACGAATAAAAAATCAATAGAAAATCAGACCATGAAGATTAACATGATTATAATCATTCATAAAAACATCCTACTGAATGCTTTATATATACTTTGGTACTGAATGCTTTATATATACTTTGGTACAAATCTTCAAATCATATTTCAAAGCAATGTCACTGTGTTGGAAATTCTCAGAACGTTAGTGGAATTTGATTTATGTTTGGTTATATCACTCCTGATTTTTACATACACCAGCAATCTTGCCTTTCCTTTTCTAAAACCACGTTGTTGTTGTTGCTATTGTTGTTGTTGTTTTTATGTAGGAAAAACATAGATTGGTAATCAGGGTCTATTAATTAACATTCACTATTTTCCCCCTGGCTGTCTTGTTTCACACAGACACTTATTAGCCAAGGTTTTAACTTTTTTTTTCTTCATGCCCTCAGTGGTTTTAGTAATATCTCCAAAGATTTTCATGAAGTGGCTTTTTGTCTTTCATCTTAATATACTTTGTGCTACCATTAATTTGTTATTTCAAATACAATTTTCCAAGAACAGAAAATTGTATCCTATGGCATCTCTGACACATCTCCAAATGTCATCTGCTTTGGGATTCTGGATAACAGAGAGGTTAATATCTGTCTTGCGTTTTTTCTCCTATATAATAAATATTGCTCCCACCAGTTAATGAAATGTTTGTATCTGACCTATGAGATGAACTTCTTCTGGAGGAATGATTGCAAAACTATAACAATAGTAGTAGTTAAGTTACTAACCCTCATTGAAGGTTTCCTCTGTTCTAGGCACTGCACTAAGAGTTTTACAAAGTCTCATTTTGTCCTTACATCAGTCTTTTGCAGCAAATATTACCATTGCCAGTTTACATTTGGGAAAAATGAGACAAAGTTTAAGCAACATGACTGAGGTTGCACATCTAGTTAGTAGCAAAGCCAGGAATAAACCCAGAAAGTCTGATTTTAGCCATATTCTTAACTGCTGTGCTATGTTGCCTATACCTCTAGAGTGAGACAGTTAAAAAGGCAATACATTCTAAGCAAAAACAAGTGAGACAGCTTTTCAACAATCCATAGCTTGTTCTCAAACTTCAGTAAACAACTTTTTGTGTTATTAGCATTAGTAATTTACCCTAGTAGTATTATGTGTCCTCACAGAAAATGATAATTGGTTCTTTAGTTGGTAGTACTTTCATCTCAGACATACCTTATGAACTACAAAATCATCACTGCACCAAGAAAGCCAACTCTCCTAGCTTTTTTAGCCTTTAAGTGGAAGTTCTTGCAATGTTATTTGTGAAATTCTCCTTAGAATTTTTCTTCCCTGCCACTCCTAAATCCTTCTGTATGGTTTCTAAGAAGTCTAACATATGATCCTAACCTTACTTATTTAATAAATAGAAGCCACATTTATCAATTTTGATTTTACTTATTTGTTCACCTATGTTTTTGAGCATCTACTAAATGCCAGGCACAATTGTAGGCACTCCGAATGTGATTGTACATAAGACAGAGAGGGCAGGGCGCATGCTCTAAC